GGGGGGGTGTCTCAGCATCCCCCCGGGGGTCTCAACACCCCCTCCGGGGGTCTCAGGCACCCCCACCCAAGGGGTCCCAGCATCCCCCCTCCCCGGGGGGTTCCAACCCAGCACACATAGCGGGTACCCCGCGGGCTTCGCTCAGGGATGGCAGGAGATGGAATTAATTAGGGAGGCAGAGTGGATAATAACATGTTTTTTAAAGCGTGTTGTTTGCAGCAGGCTTCTCTGGAGTGGGTTATTTATAGGATGTGTCTGTAACCCAAATAAAGCAGCCGAATTTCACCGTGTGTTGCTCCAGGCTGGTGATGGGTCCCAGGGGGGTGCGGATCCCCCCCACTGATGCTCCCCACGCACCCCCGGCCCCTCCATGGGTGCAGCAGCAATTAGAAGCAAGTCACCAGTTCGAGGACGCCGAGCATCTCCTTCTCCGCAGTGAGACTGGTTAAATGAGCTGGTTTTAACGAGCAGACCCTCGTTAGGGTCCTGCAGCCCCCCCACTGTGCCGTATCCCTCCCGTGGGAGCCCGAGGAGGAGGAGGAGGATGCGGTGCTTCGCAGCGAGCTGGACCAGCTGCTTCATCGCGGCTTCATCCCTGCCCTGGGCTGCTGCAAACAGGCAGCGGGAGCCGGGGCCGTATCCTGAGCAGGGTAGAGGCATGGCAAAGCCATCTCCCAGCCCCAGCCCAGTTGGGAACTGGGAGGGGGGGGTGTCTCAGGCACCCCAGCTCCTGCTCACCCCAAGGGAGCCTGGCGTGGGCTAGCAGGGATGCTACACCAGGAGCAAGGAACCTCCTCTCACCACCTTCTTCTTCCTCCTCCTCTTTTATTGCTCTCAGGTATTTAATATTTGCCCCGGATTTAACCCATCGCTGCCCTCCCGCCTGCAGCTTCCCGACCTCTGAGCTGGGACAGCGGTGGCACCTGCCACCGGCTGAAGATTGTCCCCAAACCTCACCAGGACGGCGCGTGCTTGCAGTGCGTTCCCCCAAACCCCTCATTTAATTCACCAGACGTAGCCGACGGCGGGGTTGCGGCCACGCTCCCCCCTCCGTGCCTCAGTTTCCCTCCTTGCCTTGGGAGAAGCCCCGAAAGCGCCGGCGGGAAGCCGAGCTGGTGGCAGGGAGGATAAATAAACCCCAACGCGTCCCGTGTCTTTCCTACAGCCGCTTTAAAAGGAGAAACACCGCCCACAGCCGTGACAAATGCCTTTGTCTGGTTCACAAGCGGAATAGTTAACAGCCGGAGAGCGGTGGCTGCTTATGCTCCGGAGTGGTAGGTGTATAAATATATAGTGAATAAAATGAATAGTTTTGTTTGTTCTGCTCTTATCTAATTTAATAGCTTCTGGGTGAGCAATTACTCTCTGTAACAAGAGCAAATAAGCAGCATTAGCGTAATTGGTTGAGTATTACTCTGCTTTATGCTATATAATGCAACATTAGGACCTCGGCACTTACTCTTAAAAGAAGGTTTTCCGCTCCGGTCAAGGCTGTGGAGGGATGCTTGGTGTGGGTTAGCCCTGATTTTACCCTCAAAAGCCCAAACCCAGCTCCTTTTTGCCATTCCCAGCTAGGAAGAACTGTTTTGGTTGGGGTTTTTTCCCTGCAGAAGATCTGCAGGATGAAACGTCTCCTGGAAGAAGGGGTGAGAGATCTCCCTGTGGGTCCGGAGGCATCTCACCGTGATGCTCATCCTCTCCCCTAGCCAAAACAAAGCCTGGGCAGCCCAAAAAAACCTCACCCCTGCACACGGCTGGGTTTAAAAAGAGAGAAGGAGGCAAAAAAAAAATAATCACCTGTCAAGAAAGCAAGAGAAATCAGCCCATCATCTTCAGCCGGACCAGCTATGTACACAGGTTTAAATGGTCATTAATGCATCCCTTCCTGCTTGGAATCATATCTGGGTTAATGTCCTCGCCGGCGCGCTCCGTGATGGACATCTCCATTAGGAGCAATTGAAAAAGCGACAAGAACTGTCTGGGGAGAGGAAAAAAAAAAAAAAAAAGAGAGAAATTGGCTTTTGGGTTGGGGAGAGGTGGAAATTTCATATAAATCTGCTTATTTGCTTTGCTGCTGGCGAGGAAAGGGAAGCGGCAGCTCCGGATACGGGTGCGTGCGGAGAAGGAATTGGGAAACGGGAGCCGGAAAAGCTCAAATCACAAGTTTGGGGGTTTTGCTGGGGGGTGAACGAGCACCTTTTTTTTTTTTTTTCCCCTCCACGAACCCCAAATCCTTCTCCCCACACCCCCTGGCAGCTGCTGCATCTTTGCCCCACGGAGGAGACCTTTCCTCCAGCCCTTCATCCCTGGGGAGCAGAAGTAAAGCCCAATCCTTCCAGATGCCCACCTCCCTGTTCCCCTTTGAAATAGTCCCAGCAGCTCCAAGTCTTTCCAGCTGGTCACACTGGTCTTGACAGAGGGAACTGGAAAGCTGGAGGGCGCTTGCCCCAGCCGTGCCTCAGTTTCCCCTCCCTATGGGAGAGAGAGGGGGAGGAAAAGGAGACACGTGGACACCTTGAGTTAGCCCAGAGGGAAAAAGGGGATGTAGCATCCGTCTGGTCCCTTCACCCACATCCCCTCTCTGGGTGGCTCCCATTCCATCCCATCCCATCCCATCCCATCCC